GTTTGTTTTGTTTAAAGGTACGACGCGCCTTTGCATTGAGTATTTTAAATTTATTTAAGTTATGGACAGTTGGATGATGGCGGAAATAACGCTCTGCCTTTTTCCTCGCTTTTCTGGCTTGTCTACAATCTGTATTAAACCATGGTTTTCGTACATGTGGAGTCGTAGAGGACTTGGGTATACACTCATCAGCTATTTCATTTAAAACATCAGAAAAGGTTTAAATGGGATCAGTTATATCACTGAAACAATCAGGTCGCAGTTTCGATTTACAGTTAGTTTGAAATGAAGACCAGTAAGCCTTCGAAAAGTTCCATCTTGTGTACGAAAGAGAATCAGATGGAGTTATTTCTGAAAGGATAGTTGGGAAGTGGTCACTTCCACAAAGGTCATTATGAACAGACCAATCAAATTCATTCAGGAGGTTAGAATCTGCAACAGATAAATCCAAAGAAGAATAAGTGCCAGTTGCAGGATGCAGATAGGTGCTTGAATCATCATTTAATATGCACAGGTCATTATTGGAAATGAAGTCTTCAATTATTTTACCTTTAGTATTAATGTTAGTACTGCGCCAGAGTGGAATGTGACCGTTTAGGTCACCCATGATAACACATGGCTTCGGGAGTTGATCATAGAGTGATTGAAGATCAGTCAGATGAAGTGTCGATGAAGGCGGGATATACAGAGAGCATAACGTAAATGCTACACCCAGAGTAAGTCGCACTGCAACAGCTTGGAGATTAGTGTTAAGAGTAACAGGGCTGTGAATAACATTCTGTCGTATAAGGATAGTAGAACCTCCAGTGGCTCTATCACCTGGAGGGGAAAAATAATGATACGGTTCAAACTGACGTAAGTTAAAATTATCTGTCTGTTTCAGATACGTCTCTTGCAGACAGAACGCTGATGGTGTTAAATCCTGGATTAATAGCTGTATTTCATTCAAATTTGTCCGGAGTCCTCTACAGTTCCACTGCACGATATTGGGAGATATACCTATTTTTTAGGCGGATTAATTGGGGATCTACCCCGCACCGTTTTCGAGGGCGACAAGCTATGTGCCCTAGAATGGACGTTTTCGGACACGTCCATGTCCTCAAGTGATCCGTATTTGTTAAATAACTTGATTTTATCATCTGACCCCTTGGGGGCTCTGCCACTTTGTTTCTTTGAATCTGGCTTCAGTTTGCCTTTGTTTTTAACGATTGGTTGAACGTTTGGCGTTGATTGAGATCTTTGAGTTGACTGAGAAGTGTCACGGTCATAAGATGGTTCTGATTCGATTTTGAGCGTACCAGGAAGTGGTTCTGCAGTTTGTGTAGATATTGCAGGTGAGAATATCAGAGGAGAATCAGATTTAACCCAGGTCAAGTTTGTCTGACAGCATGCGGATGATTTTGTGATTCTATTTGTCGATTCTTTGAATCTGGCTTCAGTTTGCCTTTGTTTTTAACGATTGGTTGAACGTTTGGCGTTGATTGAGATCTTTGAGTTGACTGAGAAGTGTCACGGTCATAAGATGGTTCTGATTCGATTTTGGGCGTACCAGGAAGTGGTTCTGCAGTTTGTGTAGATATTGCAGGTGAGAATATCAGAGGAGAATCAGATTTAACCCAGGTCAAGTTTGTCTGACAGCATGCGGATGATTTTGTGATTCTATTTGTCGCTTCTGACGGTGTTGTGGTGATAGAAGCATAGCTCTCTTTAGGCTCGGAGCTTTGAACTAGTTTTTTGGCATCTGCAAAACTAATGTTTTGGGTGAATTTGATTTGATTTATCTCCATTTGACGTTTCCAAACAGGACAGCTTTTAGAGAAAGAGGAATAATCCCTGCACAGTTTGTACATTTTTGACAGTACTGTCACAATCTTCTGTTGTATGTGTCTTCTCACCACAGTGAGCACATACAACAGACAATGTGCAAGTATTTACGCCATGACCAAACTTTTGACATTTGAAGCACCTGAGAGGGTTCGGAATGTACGTGTCAACATTGATGTTACAATATCCTGCCTTTAGAGATTTTGGAGCATTTGGTGTAGAAAATGAAAACAGGTAAGTATTTGTTTTGATAACAGTATCGTTTTTCCTGGTTGTGAAACGCTTGACATAAAGTACGCCTTGATCCTTCATCTCGGTGACGATGTCGAGTTCTGACATGTCTGCAAACAATCGATCTCGATACCTGATAATTCCTTTGCTCGTGTTGAGTGTTTTGTGAGCAGAGACTGTGACTGGAATGCCGACAAAAGAATCAATACTCATAAGGTTGGTGGCTTGGTGCCTTTTTGCACACTCAACCAGCAGAGCACCAGAACGTAATCGCTTAATGTTCTTAACGTCACCAGCAATGCCTTGTATACCTTTAGCAACGGCAAAAGGATTCAACTTCAAAGGTGTCTTGTCAATAGTTTCAAGCACAAGAAAACGTGGCCAGTAATCAATTGAGTTGGGCAGTCTGAGGTCAGTTTCAACAGGATCAGTGTCAAGTTGACGCTTGGTCTTTTTTTTTTTGGGGGGGGGGTTAGGTAAGCCATTGTAAGTTAGTAAGATTTCATCATCCGAGCTCCCCACCCACCATGGAGTATCACAAGGACAATGCTAAAAACAAGTGGATTTCCAACTTGCAGCACCAAGTATACTCGGATGATATACTCCAGCAGAAGAATTAAAAGATTAAAAATTCCACCAGATTGGCCCATGAGCCACCGCCTTCTGGGCATAAGACTCTAGGCAAAGTTCATGACATTATAATTCAAAATCACAAACGTTTTAGATAAGCAAGTAAGCCAAGACCGAAAGTAAGATAATTCCAAATAAAATTTGTGCAATGACATGTATAAATATAGTCTATACACAGGGCTTGGCGTGACCAGCCGATTGATAGAACCGGGCCAGTTCTACCACCCGTCTAGGTGAAGTCAGGGTCAAAGTGGTGTGTTGGACAAAGGAACACTGTTCCTGGAACCAGTGCCCTCAACCACCAGACTACCTTCCTCCACCGACACAGGGGCGCAACCCACGGCAAACGGGTTGGTGGACCTAATATCCCCCCGGGTCCACAACGGGGGGTTGAAGGGCGCTTGGCGTGACCCAGCACCCACCACGAGGAGGTGGCCCTTCATGGGTGCCAAAAGTAACTATAAAGTCTTCGTAACTCTGATGATGTTTCACTCCCTTTCTCACGATTAAAATATTCGTTAAGAATTCTCTTAACTTTAATATTGTTATAAAAAATACAACTGCTCCTCAATACTTTGATTTTGGACCGAGAATCACTGATATCGTCATTACAAAACTATGTTACATGTGTAGTCAACTGAATTTATGATCTATTTGTTGGTATAAAAGATAACCCAAGTTATTCTTGTGGAAATGTTTGTGAAAATTCTTATCACTACATATTTGAGTGTCAATTATATACTTTACAGAGAACTGCCATGACGACAAATTTACGCAGTGTTACCAACATGATTATAAACTATGAGTTACTATTACATGGCAATGCAGATCCCACTGTTCGCATAAATCAAAATATATTTTAAATTGTTCAAACATATATTTGTCAGTCAAAAAAGATGTTCTTAATTGTTTCAATTGTTCCACTTTTTCCATCTTTCTGTTCTTGCCTGTCCCATCTTGTGTAATGAATGTAAATATTATGTAAATACTACGAAGAGGGTGTTCTATGTTGTATAACTTGTACCCAATCCTTTCCTCATAAATAAAATATGTTTGAAAGAAAGCCAAAACAAGGGATGCTACAATCAACTGTTGGGCGCCGATTTTCATCCAAGGTCTAAATGTTGTTACCCTCTGCAAGTGTAAGACGGAAACATTCTTCATAATATATAATGTAACTAGGATCATCTTTAACTGCTTGACTAATATGTCATTGTTTCACTGCAATAAAATAGGAGCAATTAGGAAATAAGACAAATTTTGCTACATAATAACGTCTAAATTTAAAAAAAAATACCGTTTGAGTGTTACATTGTTAATTTAACTGGTTATTTAACAGTTTATTTTTGCAACCAATCGATGTGTATTTATTACCATTTTGTATATCATACATGTACTTAACACATACATGTATAAGTGTCAGTTCGGTTCAACTGTGTTCACAGCTCAGCTCAGTGGTAAGGTGAACTGTGTTCACCAGTTCAGGGGTAACTAAAGTACATCACCTGTTGTTTTAAGAGATAAGCGCGGTTCAGTGACCTGGAACCTTTAAACAATACCTGCTGGCAAACTGGGGACACCCTGTATAAGTTTTACATAATAATGATGTAAACATATAATGCTGTTCAGCGGCACTCCAACTCCGCTCATGGAACTCCAACCCTAATAAAACGTGCTGTGTATAAGTGTTCATTCATACATAAGATAAAGATAACCTGAATATGTTGCTGGGCTTTAAACCTGTGTAAAGTCCATCCTTTTGTTTGAAAATTCCAAACAGGTACTGCCTTGTAATGACTTAAAATAATCCAGTATACACACAGCTGTTCTCTCACCACTAATGACTTGACAAGGTCACAATATGTTAATTGTTTTTGTCTGAAAAAAATCCAAACAACATAGGTGATATCTTTGCCCAAAAAGTGTCTAGATGACTAACAGTGAATGACGCCAACACTAAATTGCGGTGACCCAAATAGTCCATACAAACATACGAGGATTGTCAACGTAGTTATTCAGTAAATTCAAGTAACTAAAGTGACTAAATTGAGCAATCGTATCTCTCACTATCGACCTGACCTTAGACTTGTATCCCAGTTCTATAAATAGTAACATCATTCACGACCACGTGAGTGTGAATCTGGGTGTATTTATATACTCACGGTATATGGTGAACTAGCTAAGGTTTATAAATGCATTTTGACTAAGTATACTTACTGTAGATGTTTATATTAAACCGTCAGTGTTGAGGTATTGCTCAGATTCAGTAGAGATTTCTCATAAAGCAAGGTAAGCTAACATTACACTCCCTATTTATATATATGTAGTGTATCAATGTACTTTATCGACCTAAATGTACATATCTACGAACAGCAGAGGAAGGCCTTTAGAATCCCCCACCAAATAAGTGCACGTGAAATCAAACTTATTTGTATCTTTTTGTTTCAGAACATTGTTGACTTCACAACCCGTCCCTATTCTTGAATTATATTGCTGTACAAATATATACCACCGACTCCCTCTGCTGGTGTTTGATGAAAGTCAAATGTGGCCGAGCAGATGTTCGTGGAGATGTCATTTCTAAGCAGGTGCTCGTGACATGGTCACTGTAGAGGGATATTACCCAATCAATATTGATTTAGTGCAGGTGCCTCCATGGCGAAACGACGCATTGCGTCACTAATACGCCGAGTAGTAACGGTAATCAGCTCGTTTCACTTCGGAACACAAGGTAAGTATGACTCTTGATTTTGGACCCTCGATATTCGAGGGTTTGAAGTTCGATCGGTAGAGTGCGGGTCTCCCTATAGGAAGGGTCGCGGGTTCGAGTCCCGCTTAGGAAAGTACACTTGCAACAGGAAGTGAGTGACCTGTGACGTCACTTCTAGTAGTAAGATACAATCTTACAGATCATGATGGGGGTTTCTAAAGCTGCTCCCTGCAGAAATCTAGACTTGCCACATATTCTAAACTTGCAAGGACTTTCTTGGATAAATTTGCATCAGGGTCTGTATGACAGACTCAGCATTCGCAAGCGTCCTCACATTTTAACTATACTATTTCAGGGCAAAAGTGTATTTTATTACACTATACATAGTGGCAGATGGAACTCTATTATTTCATAAAATCATGAAAAAACATGTTCAACCTGCTATGATCATGAAAAATGAGGTTTAACTGTGGTATAAGCATGAGTGAGCCAGTATTGTTTTACGCCGCTCTTAACAATGTTCCAGCAATATGACGACGGGAGTTTCCAGAAATGGGCTTTACATAGTTCCTTTTATGATGAATCAAACCTGTGTGTTACGCATGTCGTGAAAACACTTTAGCCTCTGGGCTACCCAACAGGTATTATTATGAATATCGAGTTTAAACTTAATACGATCATGAATAAGGAGGTTTACATGTAGTAAAAGCGTAGAATAGTTTAATTTATTCCTAAATAAAATATTCCCGAAAAATTATCATTATACCTGTATCTACTCTGTACGTTTATGTAACGCTATGTGTGGTCACTTGGTGTCATTGCCACTTAAAGCAGAACCATGACACATAATTAACAAAGATAGCTTCGTGCTTCAGCTGTGCAAAAATGATAAAAAATCCATTTTGCAAACGATAACCATCCTCATTGACGTAGTTCCACAAGGATCGACAGTCAGGTGACTTCGAGCGGTTATGTTTTATTTAGCAGTCTGTGCATGTCGAAATATGTCAATATACATTCTTCACCTGCACTGGTGATTTTTCTATCAGTTGAAGTTGGAAGTGAGGGTACAGCGGTAATTGTCGCATTGGGCATATTGGGCACATTATATACTAGGCACATAAAGAAACTGTGCATACAAAAAATTAAAATCTAAATTTATCAAATTTGTGTAGACACATAAGGATTTAAACTCAGAGATTAGTGACGTCAGTGGGTTCCTCCTTGAGACGTGCAATACGTTGTTGCACGTGCATTCCGGGAAAGAGAAACAGCAAATGAATGCCACACAATACTGTCACTTTGGAAAGGTCAACCCCTGCCCTTGCGCTCGTTCAAAAAAATAAACGGCTATTTAAACGCATAGCATGCCAAGGCCCACGTCTGCACATCGTCATGAGGCCATTGGGATGGTCCGTGGGGGAATGTCTCAACGACAAGTGGCTGCACATTTCCACTGCCACCGGAACACCATTCTGCACTGGTGAGACGCTACCAGAACACAAATGACGTCATCGATCGGCCACGTTCTGGACGTCCACGTGTAACAACGCCAAGACAGGACAGATGGATAAGGATGACCCGTCTTCGCCACAGGTTTCAGACTGCAGTGATGACTGCCCGAACCATCCCAGAACTTCGCCGTATCCACCCCAACACAGTGCGACAACGTTTACGTTATAACGGGATCAGACCAGACCATACGGACTATCCTGACACAATGTCATCGACAAGCTCGCCGAATGTGGTGCCGAAATCATGTCCCCAGACCCTTGTTTTGGTGGAGAAATGTTGTTTTTACAGATGAGTCCAGGTTTAACATTTCCCATAGTGATGGACATCAACGTGCCTATAGACGCGTGGGAGAACGTTATGCACAGGCCTGTTTCTTGGAGAGGAATCGCTTGGGTGGTGGTTCCGTGATGATTTGGGGTGGAATAACAGCACGCCAAAGAACTCCTTTGGTGATTGTTCAGGGCAACTTAACTGGTGTGGGCTACAGGGATCAGATTCCTCGACCTGTGGCAAGTCCTTTTCTGCAACGTCATGGCCCTGGGTTAACATTCCAACAGGACAATGTCCGCCCTCATACGGCAAGGGTTGTTATGGATTTCTTGCAACACCACAACCTTGACTTACTGCCTTGGCCTGCAAATTCACCGGATCTCTCCCCGACAGAGCATGTTTGGGACGAGATGGATCGACGTCTACGCCGTCTTCCTCATCCGCCAGATAACGTCCTTGACCTTGCAACAGAACTTGGCGTATCATCCCACAAGCCTTCCTTGCACGTTTGATAGGCTCTATCATCTATGCATCGTCGATGCACTGCTGTTCTCAATGCCGATGGTGGACATACCCGTTATTGAGCTTGTGACATGGTCGTTTGACCCCTGTCCCGCTTGTGGACTCGTGACGTAATTGTGATTGACTTTTCAATTGAAATTCTCCCGACTTGTTATGGTCTCATGATCCCTCCATTAAGGTTTATATGTACATTTGACATTGTTATCGTACTTATATCAACTGGGATAATATTTTGACAGTGCACAGTTTCTTTATGTGGCTAGTATATTTTTAATTTCGTACCTCCGTTTCAGACACCTTAAATCGTTTATTTTATTTTATTTTGTTATTTTTTCTGCTTACTTTGAGACTTGAAGATAGTGTGCACCATCAACGAACCTCCCGTGTCTTTAGAAGCCCAGGCGAGCCGATGGTTACAGTGTCTATCACTGAATCGAATTGCACACTCTGTGATGACATGAGTGAGTGAGTGAATTTAATTTTAAACTGCTTTGACCAGTATTTCAGGTATGTCGCGGCCTGCCATTATAATGTGTGAGATGATATTAACATTAGCTTTTTACTACTTTTTGAAATCAACGAACACGTACATGGTGACAATCATAGAAACAGAATAAGGGGTTTCAGGGATTCTAACCCACCATCCCAGGCTTCCGACAGGCCAAAGGGACGCAACTCTGCACAGCGAATCCCGTCGCCACAAGATGCTACCGGACACTAGAACCTCTAACGACGCGTTGAAATGCCTATATCTGTCCCAGGTAGTATGATATTTATTAGAACGTCCCTCTGACATAGGAATGGTTCTATCCCTAGATAAGGATGTATTTGGCGCTTGAACAGACTACAAAACAAACATTACGCAATCTTAATGAAATATTTGCAGTGATGTAAACACGAACGACAAATGAGCTTTTATTTCAGGGCGATTGAACTTGCAACCTTGCTCGTGTTTTCAGCCTGTTGAGTTAGCCACCAGTCAACAGAGGCACCGATAAATCTTCGCAACTGGGTTACGATGAAATGTGTCACCCACAGCACGACTGATCACTCGATCCCGATATAGTCGCCTCTTACGACAAGCATCTGTCGCTGAAGACCTAATCCAACACGGATCCTTACGGGTCTATATGTTCCTGCAAAAGAGGTTCTTTAAGAGATTCTTTCCTTGCTACAAATCTTTTGGGGCTGAGTTTTATTCCTGACATTCCTGACGCACGTACGCACGCACGCATGCACTAGTAATTATTTTTTTCATTATATGCAGGCACACGGCACGTCACTCGGGCAAGATGGCACAGAGTTTGATGTTTTGGAAGCGAAAGGACGAGATTTCCACCGAGGAGGCGATAGAGCGCCTTCGAAATCTGCAAGAACTTCTGTCTAAAAAAACCGATTACCTTGAAAACAAAATTGATGCTGAAACGAAAACTGCATTGGAAAACAGAGGGAAGAATAAGAGAGGTAAGTAGAAAATGCATGTTTTGGTAAGGGAAGTGGTGTCAAGTGTACCTAATGAAGGGAAGCATGTCGTACTGATAGCAGTAGTAGTAGTAGTGGTGGTGATGGTGGTGGTGGTGGTAGTAGTAGTAGTAGTAGTAGTAGTAGAAGTGGTGGTGGTGGTGGTGGTGGTGGTGGTGGTGGTGGTGGTGATGGTGGTGGTGGTGGTGGTGGTAGTAGTAGTACTAGTAGTAGTAGTGGTGGTGATGGTGGTGGTGGTGGTGGTAGTAGTAGTACTACTAGTAGTAGTGGTGGTGATGATGGTGGTGGTAGTAGTAGTAGTAGTGGTGGTGTCGGTGGTGGTAGTAGTAGTAGTAGTACTAGTTGTAGTAGTAGTAGTAGTGGTGGTGATGGTGGTGGTGGTGGTGGTAGTAGTAGTACTAGTAGTAGTAGTGGTGGTGATGGTGGTGGTGGTGGTGGTGGTAGTAGTACTAGTTGTAGTAGTAGTAGGAGTAGTAGTGGTGAAGGTGAGGATAGTTATAGTTTTACACATAATGACATCTATAGTAATTATAGTAGTAGTGTAATTTTGTGGTTAAAGTATTAGTGCTGTATCGACCTATTTGTATTAATATTTTTTTTGCACAAGGCACAGGAAATGTGTTACTGATGAAATAGATCTACTTTAGTTTACAACAAATTTAATCAAGAAATACCACGTGAAGTGATTTACAGATCGATCAAAGACAGTATTACATGTCACTAAGATGGTGTTACAGGTGTCACACAGATGGTGTTACAGGTGTCACACAGATGGTGATACATGTGTTACACAGATGGTGTTACAGCTGTCACACAGATGGTGTTACAGATGCCACACAGATGGTGTTACAGGTGTCACACAGATGGTGATACATGTGTTACACAGATGATGTTACAGATGCCACACATATGGTGGACAGGTGTCACACAGATGGTGTTAGAGGTGTCGCACAGATGGTGTTACAGGTGTCACACAGATGGTGATACATGTGTTACACAGATGATGTTACAGACGCCACACATATGGTGTTACAGGTGTCACACAGATGGTGTTATAGGTGTCACATAGATGGTGTTACAGGTGTCACACAGATGGTGTTATGGGTGTCATACAGATGGTGTTACAGGTGTCATACAGAATGTGTTACGGTGTCACACAGGTGGTGTTACAGATGCCACACAGATGGTGTTACAGGTGTCACACAGATGGTGTTGCAGGTGTTACACAGATGGTGTTACAGGTGTCACACAGATGGTGTTACAGGTGTCACACAGATGGTGTTACAGGTGTCACACCGATGGTGTTATGGGTGTCATACAGATGGTGTTACAGGTGTCATACAGATGGTGTTACGGTGTCACACAGGTTGTGTTACAGGTGTCACACAGATGGTGTAACATGTGTCGCATAGATGTTACGGGCGTCACACATGATGGTGTTACGGTAGGCACACAGATGGTGTTACAGAGGTCATACAGATGGTGGTACGGGTGTCATACATGATGGTGTTACAGGGGTCACAGAGATGGTGAATCGCATCTGAAATAGATGTGGCTATACATGCCGCAGAGATGATGTTAAAGATTACTTACTTATAAGTGGTGTTACAGGTGTCACATGAATGATGTATTAGGAGTCACGTGGTTGATGTTACATATCTCATATAAGTAGTGTTACAGGTGTCACGTGGACGATGTTACATATCTCATATAAGTGGTGTCTCAGGTGTCACGTGGTTGATGTTACATATCTCATATAAGTAGTGTTACAGGTGTCACGTGGACGATGTTACATATCTCATATAAGTCGTGTTACAGGTGTCACGTGGACGATGTTACATATCTCATATAAGTGGTGTTACAGGTGTCATGTGGACGATGTTACTGGACTAGTAGGTGTAACGTGGATGGTGTTACATATCTATTATAAATGGTCCATGCTCTTACAGATAGAGTAAAAGTGGAGTTACAGGTGTCACGTTGATATGTCGTTAAAGCCGCACTCCAGGCCCTGCGACGTCGAAAGCGATATGAGAAGCAGCTGCAACAAGTGGACGGAACGACGGCGTCACTGGAGGTGCAGTTGGAGGCGTTAACATCGGCTTCGGTGAATGTCGAAGTCGCCAGGTGCCTGAGGTTGACGTCAGAGGCGATACAACGTACCTTCGGTAACATGTGCGTGAAACACTGGACTAGTCGTATCAACTGGAGTGAGACAACAGTATTTTTCAGATTTGGAAAGAAACAAACACAAAAATAGGCCAGGGAAGTCAAATGCAAAAGATAATTACTTCCACAGTTCTACAAAACAACAATACTGCTGAGGTGATCGTTACTCCCATGTTGTACCATAGATTAACGACAGTCGTAGCGCTCCGTTCACTTTATGGAACAGGTCCTAGAAAGAGAAGAGTGTGCAGGCTGGTTGTGGTAGGATTTGTAAGGAAACCAGATAAGTTGCACCTGAAAACCAGATAATGCATGTATTTGCTTAGGGATATTTTTAAGTCCTGTCCGAATATATTGTTCAATGTGTGGAACCTATTTCTGGTATCCCACGACGACATTTTGCTGGAATATTGCAAAACATGCCTAAAACCATACTCCCTCACTCACTCATTGATCTCTGATGAATAGAATATGACCTGGTTGACATCATTTATCTATAACGTGGCCAGGACAGCGGACAAGGTGGCGGACCTGAGAGATGAGGTGTCTGACAGGATGGAGGATGTAGAAGAGATTGGCAACATCCTGGCACAACCTCTTGGCGGCGAGGAATTCGATGACGTATGTATAGCTGCTAGGCCATGTTTGTAGCAGCGAGTTGTCTGATCAAAATGATTATTGGCAAGTTTGTTTTCTGTTTAATGCGGTACTCAGCATTTTCCCAGTTGTATTGCGACGGTTCGAATCTGGACCAGGCAATCCTGCTCATTCTTGTATCATGTTAAACACTCACACGCATACCCACTCGCACCACTCTCACATACTTACTCTCACAGTCCCTGAACCACATTATGTCCCCTACTGCCAAGCTCTCCCTGCAGTGCTAAAGCCCTAAATAAAGCAAGTCTAGATTTCCTCAGGTTCAGGGTCTGTTCTGAATCTCTGGTCACCCCGGGCCTCCTTTTCAATTTAAATGGGCTTGTTTGTTACTATCAAACTTAAAATTATATATTCAGAGGCTAAGCATTAGTCTATCACATACTGAGCCCATGCTGGTCCTAAGCCCCACTTATACGTCTTCCGTCCACTTTTCTCACTTAGTCCACACCCGCACACAATCACAGCTACTCTGGGTTTGTTTCAGGATGATCTTCTGGCGGAGCTTGAGGAAATGGACCAGGATGATCTCATAAACAAACTGAGCGACATCCAATTGCCCTCTGTGCCAACCGAGGAGCTCAAGACAAAAGGTGAGATCTCCTTATACGGAAGAATCAGGTCGAACTGACATTCTCTACAAAAGGGTCAAGGCATTTACTCGATAATTTGAAATTAATTGTTCACTTTGCTTGGGAGTCGGATTTAATTCCGGTTTGAACAGTAATGCGTGCTCGATTTTGGAGCGAAGTCAGAAGTGATGACCAGAAAAGTGGTTGAACCCATAAGCACGTGTCGCGCTGACAAACCAAGACACTGAACCCGTAAAGAGTGAGTGAGTGAGTGAGTGAGTTAATATTTGACGTCACATCGGCAATGTTTCAGCCACATCGATACGAGAACAAAGTTGACGTCAATAAAGAATATGTGTACATTATGAAACCTTTCGTCAAAGGGCAGTACACAACTAGAATATCACAGTTAGAATTAAAACAAGCATGAAAAGTTAAAACTATTATGAGTATTTGGACAACTCATAGTATAGAAACAGGCTATAGATCGCCGGCAACTGAAGGTAGATCACCATGGGGACTTACAGTACTTTGCTACCTGCATGGATTTACACCACCCCTTCAGCCATAGGCGATTGTGCTAAGATTTAGCCACTAAAATGCGTAGATCAAAATTTACTTCGAATGTTTTGGGACTTATGTAACCTGTGAAGATCAGGGCGGAGGCTATTAATGGGTGGTCAGACCCGCTGACTTGGTTGACACATGCGAGCGTATCCCAATAGCGTATTTCGAAGCTCACTGGGTATTCTGTCGAGTATTTACAACCCGCTGTCTTATGGCTGGAAAATGGCGTTAAAACAAACAAACAAGACATAATCCAAACGAATCTGGATTCGAACTCGAGATCACAGGTTTCTGGCGTACCAAAGGGACGCAACTCTGCACAAATAATTGCAGGGCCTGAGAAGACTGAGCCCGTGCCCCATGTCTGTGAATGGATTCAAGAAAAGGAGGTATCTACTGCTCATAACGACTCCTTGCGTGCGCACACACGCACCAGCACACGCGGAGACAAAGTGTGTTAATACCAGTCGGCGGGGTAGCCTAATGTTTAAAGCCATCACTGTCAACAGTCACTATTAACATGCCCACCCTCATTGTTTCCAGGCGACAAAAAGACCGGGAAAGCGAAAGAGGAAGAGGAGGAAGATAGAGAAATGAGGAAGTTGGCTGAATGGGTGTGACGTCACTCCTTGTGGAGTGACGTAACACCATCCTCTACGACCCAGAAGGGTTTTTTTTATCTCCCTTCTGCTAGTATTTAATACTTGTATTTGTCAAGTTGGAATCTATGGATTATATGTACAGATAGTAACTTAAATACAAAAATAGATGTGACGTGTGGCCCAACTCCATCCTTTACGATTTTATTCTCCCTTCCTTTCTGCTTCTATTCTACGGGTAGCACATTCTCTTCCTCCGTCGGAAGATATGACAAGTAACCTCTGTGGGCAGAGAATGCGTATAGCACGACACTAGACGAACTTTGTGACTGAGATGATGAGGTGTGTGTTCAGGGAGACACTGGCATCGTTATATCCAGGATCGAGAGAAGAATTGAAGCATGTAAAAAGGATTGGACCCGGGAGCACAACATCAAAAGAATGTACCAAAAAATGTAATACCTTTGCCAATTAATACTATCACCATGTGTAAACTGTTTATATGTATTTTCTGAGAGAGAGAGAGAGAGAGAGAGAGAGAGAGAGAGAGAGAGAGAGAGAGAGAGAGAGAGAGAGAGAGAGAGAGAGAGATATGTCAACTGTAATTGATAATCTTGCAATTGGTGCCAATACCAACGGCATTGATGAAATAACATGGCATTTTACTATTAAAGAATTGTCAAAGAATATAATTTATTATAATAGTTTAAACTAAAGGATATCCTCAATCACTTGTGGTCATAGCCTTAATAACCTGTATATATTTGGGAAAATGTTCCCCTATTATATGTATGTATGTGTGTGTGTGTGTGTGTGTGTGTGCGTGCGTGCGTGCGTGCGTGCGTGCGCGAGGTATTCATGTACTTAATTCTATACATTGTAATTACATAACCATAATGTTTTGAGGGTCTTCTGAACTATCTGGAGGAAATAAAGACATTCATCATCTTCATCAATGTGGTATTGATATAAAGCGTTAACTTCATCAATGTGGTATTGATATAAAGCGTTTACTTCATCAATGTGGTATTGATATAAAGCGTTTACTTCATCAATGTGGTATTGATATAAAGCGTTCACTTCATCAATGTGGTATTGATATAAAGCGTTTACTTTGCCTCTTGCTTACTACATCTTACAGATGGTTTTACAATATCATACGTGCTGCGTTATTAATGCTAACCTTATCCTGTAAGCTTCAGGTTCGGTTCCTCAGACAAGTACAAGGGGTGCTGCAATCTATAGCCGGGCGATTTTAGACTGTCCAAGGTCGAAATATACTCTCCATTAATTCCAAGGTCTAAATGTTGTTAACTGACTGACTGACTGACTGAGTTTAGTTTTACGCCGCTTTTAGCAATATTCAAGCAATATCACGGCAGGGGGACACAAATGTTGTTAACGCCTGCAGGTGTAATCATGAGACATTCTCATTATGGAACTAGGATAATCTTTCACTGCTTGACTGATATGCTACTGTATATTGAACGACATTGAATCAAGCTTGCCAAACCGAACAAGCCTATGACCCTCAACCCTATTAGACCCGTGAAGTTCCGGGTTAGAATGGACCTTCAGTAACCCATACTTGTCGTAAGAGGCGACTAAGGGACCCTTTACACAGGACGGCGACCGCTCTGCCTTCCCTCCGCGTTCTAGCAATTTTCCGAACGCCACTGAACGCTCAAAGGAGGCACAACGAACGCAGAGAGAAGACAGCGCCATCGCCATGAAGGCAGAAAGAAGGCAGAGCCAACGCCAAGAACGGCTCAGAACGCCACTGCAGTGGCCCTGATTGAATATGGCTGTCTGACATCGTTCCAACACCACCAACATCACCCCATAAAAATTTATAATTTGCATCCACTAATGCAAGAAGGACAAGAGAGAAAACAACCTTATAGTTGTGGTAGAGACTACCTGTGTTTGGTGGACAACGCACGGCTATATGTTTCCCTTCAATGGCACCTCATGCATGGGGTAAGTTCCAACGTCTCGGAAAGTCATCTGCAACAGCTTTCCACTCTTGGGAGTTCCTTGGGCATTTGACAACTTCATTCTTATATTCATCTCGGATAGCTCTGCACAAAAGTGGAGATCGTGCTGCGTGACACACGATACTGGTACTGGAAGCTTAGGTATTTGTCCCCAATTGAAAGGAACCTGAGGTTTACGGCAAGTTTCAAACCAGGCTCTAAACTCGCTCACCAATTCGTGTTCTGTATGGCGATTCTTGGGCTAACCCGTTGGAGGAGTTCGTCAAAAAAGTGTTCTAGACGCAGTTCTTGCATTAGTTGGTTGTGCAACCGTCAGTGTTGTTTTAACCATGGACGGACCCACAGGGTTATGCATCTTCTTCTTCTACGTCTATTTATCCTTCTGTTTGAGATGGCCATGGCTGTGTAGTTTAAAAACAATGCTTGTTGACCTTGCAAAAAAGCTATTTGCAAACACAATTCCTTGTTCATGCTTACTGAAGTCGTTATACGATGATTTCACTGAGCCTGCTCGTATGAAACTAATGATAAAATGTCGTAGCCAGGTACTTATATACCTAGAGCATGCAGGTTGCCAAACAGTCGCCACAGAACGCACAGAGAAGGCAGAGCGAACGCCAGTGAAGGCACAACGGTCGGCGAGAAGGCAGAAGCAACGCTGAACGGACGCTGCATATGATGGTACAGAGAAGGCAGAGGGGAGGCAGAGGGAAGGCAGAGAGGACGCCTAGGACGCTCAAAGAACGCCTCTGAAATGTCAAAAATTGGCAGCTTAGGTCGTACAAGGAAGCCACAGAAACAGGTTTGGCGACCGTTGTGCGTCCTGGTAATCTTTAGAACGCAGAGAAAAAGCGGAGCGGTCGCCGTCCTGAGTAAAGGGGGCGACTAACGGGATCGGGTGGTCAGGCTGGCTGACATGGTTGACACTTGTCATTGTATCCCAGTGGCGTAGATCGATGCTCATGCCGTTCATCACTGCATTGCCTGGTCCAGACTCCATTATTTACAGACCGCCGCCATATAGCCGGAATATTGCTGAGTGCGACGTTAAAACAATCTCAAAACAATCAAACAAACCTAACCCTATTGTACCTGCTAAACCGCTTCACTGAACAAACAAATAAACATCAGAGTGAATATGAAGTGTTTATGACGACACAGAGAGAATATTTAGACAAACAGACTGACTGACAGACTGAGTTTGGTTTTACGCCCCTTTTAGCAATATTCCAGCAATATCACGGCGGGGGACACCAGAAATGGGCTTTACTCATTGTGACAAACAGAATGTTGCTAAGCTTTGAAATAGATAATAACGTAAAGACGTCCTTCCTTTTATTGCACCACCTCCTAGTAATCAAAATATATTGTCCAGAATACAAAAACTCTCACCATTAATGTCGTCACAAGACTACAACATTGTTAACTGTTTTATTGTCAGACAAATTCGGTGACTTCTTCGCCTTGTGTCTAGACTGACAATGACGCCAATACTGAAATTGCGGAGACCCAAAATAGGCCATACAATGTGTGAAATATACGGCGCAATATATACAGCTGCTTCGTACAATCGACAAGTTCCAGGTCAGATTAAACATTGAGTAATCATTCGTATCTTTCACTATCGACCTGATATTTATAATTGTTAGTGATCCCGCAACTTTCAAAAGCACGTGACTTGTTACGTCACCACCACAATAAGCTTGCTCTCAATGTTCAGCGCTCGACGATACGAAATATGTAAATAAACTGGGAAAATCCCAGTTCTATTAATAGAAACGTCATTCACGACCGCGTGAGCGTGAATCTTGGTGTGTTTTTATACTTATCCCCTATGTTCTGTGGTGGTGAACGAAGGTTTATAAATGCTTTTGACTCGGTGAACTTACTGTAGATGTTTCTATATAACCGTCGGTGTTGAGGTATTGCTCAGATTCAACTACTTGTTTCTCACAAGCAAGGTAAGCTACCATCACACTCCCTATTTTTATAAATAGTGAATCAATGTATTTCATCGATAATGTCTACGAATAGTAGCGGAAGGCTGAGAAAACAGTGGTGGATATTCGGGAAATTAATGTTGAAATATAGATGCGTACTGACTGAAAACCCATTCGTTCACCCTGATCAACGAACCAAGGATTTCATTTGTATATTTGTTGTTAGAAGTGTCTGGAATAACAAGGTTTAACTGTAATATAATAACGAATAATGATGTTTAACTTTCATATGATCATGAAAACCATGTTCAAACTGTTATGATAATGAATAATGAGGTTTAACTGTAGTTAAATCATGAAAAACCAAGTTCAACCTAGTATGATCATGAATAATGAGGTTTAACTGTGGTATGAGCATGAGTGAGCCAGTATTCTTTTATGCCGCTCTTAACAATGTTCCAGCAATATGACGACGCGAGTTTCCAGAAATGGGCTTCACATAGTTCCTTTTATGATGAATCAAACCTGTGTGTTACGCTTGAAGTGAAAACACTTTAGCCTCTGGGCTACCCAACAGGTATTATCATGAATAACGAGTTTAAACTTAGTACGATCATGAATAAGGAGGTCTGAATGAAGTAAAGGCATAGAATAGTTTAATTTATTCCTAAATAAAATATTTCCGAAAAATTACCATTATACCTGTGTCTACTCTGTATGTTTATGTAACGCTATGTGTGGTCACTTGGTGTCATTGCCACTTAAAGCAGAACCACGACACATAATGAACAAAGATATCTGCGTACTTAAGCTGTGCAAAAATGATAAAAAATCCATTTTGCAAACGATAAACATCGTCATTGACGTAGTTCCACAAGGATCGACAGTCAGGTGACTTGGAGCGGTTATTTTTTATGATGGGGGTTTCTAAAGCTGCTCCCTGCGGAAATCTAGACTTGCCACATATTCTAGACTTGCAAGGACTTTTTGGATAAATTTGTATCAGGGTCTGTATGACAGACTCGAGAGGAAATGATTGTCCTGGACCAGTTCCAACAAAAGCCTCTGCAAAGCCTTATTCCCCAAATAAGGCTTTGGTCGGACCCTTAGCTCTTGCTACCATTACCCCTACTGCTTTCCCAACCTATAAAAATTTCAAGCAAAATGTCCCCGGCAGCCACAATTCCCAAAGGGAGAAATAGAAATGTATTGCGCTTCCTCCCTTGGGAATTGTGCCGGCTGCCTTTCTCTCACCATGAGAGTGCCCCACTCCGGGATACCTTACCGAATCACCTCACATCACACAAAGTTGCAAGGAATCCACTGAGGCAACGGCGGGATACGAACCCACATGTATAGCTCGCGCAAACTATACATAATGGGTCGCACCACTCAACCGATTGAGCTACCGGGGACTTAACTGGAGTATCTCGGTTTAACGGGTCTATCTTGGGATTGCACCATTGCATCATCGCTATGCCGTGTTGACAGGAGGTAACACTGTGCCGTACGGTACGATCAATAATTCTTCTCTTACAAATCCTCTGCCTGGTCCATCCCTCAAGTAGTACAAGTTCGGCTCGTCTACTTTCATGTCCACTTTATCTATGTTGTAAGTTTTGACTGACCATATAGGATCAGTGGCTCGCTTACGGCTATCACCCTCGTGTTCCCCAGGCTGGTATAGATATCTCACTAGGGCCCTATCTGGTATCTGCTTCGCCTTCCCACGCAATGGAGCGGCCGACTCTGACACTATTGATTTTAATTTTATAGCGTCTGCCGGTTTCTTGCCGGTGAGACGGGTGACTTCATGGTTGATTGCCGACACCACCTTGGGTAACCTTGTGACCCATTCAGTCGATCGTTTTCCCCGGGGTGGCCAACTCCCTAGCATACTGATGTCCGAATAAGCGCTCAGCCAAAGTCCTATTAAATCTCTCAACTATGGCTTGGCTGCGATGGGCTCCGGCCGTGCCACGCCTGACCTTTGTATCGTGTTTGGCTAGCAGTTGTGACACGGCACCCATGAACTCCCGCCCTGGGTCAACTTGCAGCTCTGTTGGCCACGTCAGCGGACTGCGTTTGTATATGCGTTCGAATCCTCTGGCTACCTGGACCGAATCTTTCGTGGTCAAGGGCTCGGCTTCCTTGTAGCGACTGGCTACGTCCACTACGGTTAAGGCATACTTATACCTCTTATCGTGGGGTAGGAACAGTAGGTCTGCCTGGTGAACGCTATTAGGTATGTTAATACCAAACTTCCTTCTAGGCACATAGCGTGGTGGCGGCAAATAGATCTGCCAAAGTGCTTGTTTTTCAAGCCACGCTTTAGCCTCCTCCGGTGGTACTCGCGCCATTTTAGCCAACTTATCTACAGCGCTAGCTCCTTTCCAGTACCCACGCGGGCTATAGTAAATAGCCTCAAACTTTCTCTGGTTCCGTGACATGTTCAATTTTCTCATGCCCATACGCGTACGTGTTTATCCCATCAATAGCTATCCAACGTTTAGTATCCATAGGCGACAGGGACGTCTTGTTTATTGTCAGTCCGTATATCTTATGGCCATCACTTCTAAGTGTGTTCATTTTATGCCTAAAGGTACGGGTCTTGAACAGGGCTTCCTTGAATCTGGTGTGTTTGATGTGTTGTTTAACCACGTACTTCTTAACACCCTTAGCCTTCCGGATCTCCCCATTGTCGGCTTTCAGTATGGAGTACATCTTAGGCCTCAACCCTATGTACTCGGCTATGGGCGTGCCAGCACACTCGTCCTTCATCTTACCTAGGACCTTTTTTATTTACCGTACTGTGTATGGCATGGTCCTTGGGGTAGTCGCTGGTGTCGTACAAATCGAGGTGTTTTTTTCATGTCCTCATACACGTCCTCGGTTTGAATCTCCATCAGCAGGGAATCCGTGTCAGTGTACAGCACTTCACACCTGTCGTCGTACTGTTTCTTAAGCTCGTTGTAGTAAAAGTCGTACATCAGGTGTTTGGATAAATCGAGGATGCTCATCCCCACGTAAACAGGCCGGTTGAATTTTATGTGGCTTTTCTTCATGTGTAGGGCAACTAGGTCATCGGTGAATATCTTGCTACGGTTGAATGCCGGACTGGCTATCAGTCTCCTGAGCTTGTCTTCCTCATTCGACCGAACCAGCTTCACGGTCACGCGTTTCCTCAGGTTCTCCATAGTCTTACCGAACACCGAGTTGTTCATGAGCTTGTAGAGATTTTTCTCAAAGTCACTGGTGGCAAGCTTTCGGAGGTCTGTGTTCATTCTGATGTAAGGCTCCATCCAGGGGTCTGGTCGAACACGAGCACCCTGTGTATTTTGGTCAGCCTCATACCCAACGACAGGTATAGCTGTAGGTTGCGATAGTGAACGATGTACTTGGTCTTATTCATTAAATTGGGCACGAGTTTTTCAACGTCTGTCACACGCCCACCTAACAAGTTATGTTGGTACTCAGACATCCAGTCTGGGTTAACCCTCATACGTTCGGGGGGCCAGGGGGTAACTGTTGTGTGATGTGTGTAATGCCTTGGGGTACTCCAAGTCAACCTCGAGGATATAACCTTTGTTAGAATCTGACGCGATGCTCATAACATCGACCTCGTGTGACGCCCATTCGAATCCTCCTGTGGGTAGATACTGGCTCATGGCCCAGCCGTACAGGTTGTTGGCGTCGAGGTAGAGAATGTGATTGGTTGGCTTGTTAGGGTCGTAGCCCTTCACGTATTGATTATTTGCTTTCGCGTATCGTTTGGCTGCCATGGAGATCCCACCTCGCAAGCCTTTCTCAATGAATAGGTGCATGTCATAATCCGTAAGCAATTCCAACTTAACTCCGGTCTTTTTAAGCAAGGCATCCCACGACAGACCTGGGCTGGTGTAATACCATGCGGGGTCGAGTTTATACTGCTTGAAACATGTCCGCCTAAACGTCTCAAACACGTCGGCTAACAGCAGTACATCCATCCTCAAGTACAGATCGTGATAGTCACCCAGGTTTTTACAACCTAGTTTATTCCATACGTTAATCGCGTGCGAGTAATCGTCTTGGGATATTTCCGAGTCTGTAAGATTGCTGTAAAATTCTCTGATGGGAGGTAGTCTGGTCTCGGCGAACTTGGCCCAACTATCCATGTACTCATAGGGGTACACACCCTTCCTCATAAGCAGGGGTCTAGTCTCGGAGTCTGTGTATCGATCGGTAATAGGGAAGGTATCGTTGGCCTTGACCAGACTGTCTAATGAAGACAATAGAAATTGACACGAGTCAATGAACCTAAGACCGTTTAAGCTGAAGGAGATGTATCTCTCCATGTTGTTTGGGATGCACGTTATATTACCATCGATTTTCGCGATGGCCTGCATGATTAAGTGAGAGTCGTACCCTCTCAAGTTGTGAAAGACAACGGGAATGTTTATTGTCTTAGGGGTGATTTTAAGCTTGAGGTTACACGCGTTATGAGCGGCGCCTCTATACTTACCGGTTACGTGACAGTGATCTCTTACCGAATCACTGTTAAGTGGTGAGTCGCACACGTGACAATTAGTGCTACAGGCGTGAGCTAGCCTGTCGGCTTGGGTCATATGCATGGGAGCGACTCTATACAACGCGTTCCTAATAATTTTTTCTTCCTCCTGCAAACACTTTAGAAACCTTTCAGCCGCGTCAGGGCCCCTATACACTACCGGAGCTTTCGTTTCCCCGTCACAACGGACGACAACGTATCCAAACCCACAGGCCTCATGCTCCTGTGTTTTATGTGTGAAGCTCTCACCTGTGGGAGTATCCCCAACAACCTTAATAGGTTTGACCAAGGCTTCAAAGTCGGCGTATATGATATAAGGCACAGACATTTGGTTCTTGTGGTTGTCGAATTTTAGTATATTGTCACCTTCATTAGGCATATCAACGCGTATGGCTGTCTGCCCCACACCTTGGCAATCCTCCCATTGGGATTCTAATAAATCAGCTCGGCTGAAACCGTGTAGGCATCGCAGACA